GGGTTTATCAAGTTGTTAAGGGGCAGGATGTCCTAAAGAAACTGCAGAGTCTTATGGACTCCACCCCCTACTCCAGCTTTCTGGACACTATCCCCTACTCCAGGGATTGGAAACTACAACTCCCAGCAGTACCAGGGAGAGAACTGCGAGGACCCAAGGGCGGAGCTAGCAGGAATTCTGGGACATTTGGGAGATAAATAGGGCATGATTGCATCTCGCTCTCTCACTCTCACTCAGGAAACAGCTCTCCTGACCTCGAGACTCTGTGTGTTCAGTCAGCCTAGCTGGTAAGATATTCCAGTTACTTTGTATTCTGCTCTCTTTCCCGGGGTTGTTTCTTATTCCTTTTCCCTTTTGTAAATATACAGGTTATTGACCCTTTTGTGTGTACCTGCAGTATAACTGAGCTGTGAGGCGCGGGTGAGGCCCCACAGACAGACGGCCCAGTCCACTCTGGGCTACCCTGTAACAAAGTGATCCCTTCACTGGAGAATGGGTGGGGTGGGTGAAGAGTGAACATGTAATCCAAACAGATGTCTTTGAAGTGTCAGTCTTTATCTTTAGCCATTATGTAGAATGTTTATTGTATCAATGTAGTCTCACTTTTTTTTTTAAGATTTATTTATTTATTCATACAGAACTGGGGTACAGGCCAGAGATGCGGAGGGTGAGAGGATTCACCAGGGACAGAGGGGGGAGCAGAACAGGCAGATCGACGAAGTAAACTGCTGAGGGGAGCAGCGGGTGGGTCAGGAGAGGTCTGCAGTGCCATGTGGTCACCTCCGGGGCAGGTGAGGATCGAACTCATGTGAAAGTGGTTTAAGCTTCTTCGTGCATTGCTTTAACCCGCTGCGCCACCAGGGAGGGCATGTAGTCTCACTTTTTAATTTTTTTCAAAGATTTATTCATTTACGTACACAGAACTGGGGTACAGGCCAGAGGTGCAGGGGCAGTGAGAGTATTCATCAGAGACAGAGTGGGGAGCAGAACAGGCTGACTGTCGAAGCACACTGCTGAGGGGAGCAGTGGGTGGGTCAGGAGAGGTCTGCTGCGCCATGTGGGTCACCTCGGGGTGGGGATCATGCTCATGCTGAAGTGGCTTTAGCTTCTTAGTGCTGCGTTTTAACCAGCTGCACCACCAGGGAGGGCCCCCTTATCTGGCTTTTTAATATAAAGCAAAGTTGTTATTTATTGTCATTGACTAACACTATTGCTTCACAATATTGCATAGGGGTTCCCCCAACGTCCCCCCCCCATTGCTGGCACAGTTTCTATTCTCAACTAATATCTGTATTCCAGTTTGAGAATAACGGGGTCTTAACACACTAATCCTTTCCCATCATTTCTGAATACAGTGTTGGTGGGTACCTTACTACAGTAACAGGTAACTAAATCCACGTGGTCACTTCCTGCATACCCCTGTAGACAGGGCTGGGGCCTTTAAAACAAGGGAGACTTGACATCTCTTTGTCATCCTCTGTGTCCTGGGTGACACCTCAATGTCCCCATTCACCATCCTGGTACTGATTCTACATGTTAAAATCTGCTTAGAAATGTACACAGTATGCAAATAAAAAGTATTGTGTTGGCAGCACCTAGCTGTAGTGCTTCCAGAAAGACAGTTTGTGATTTACACAACTGTGTAGACAGAAAAGCTTTGCTATCCCACTGGGGAGCTGTGGCTAGGGGAGCTGCTCCTGCAGTTATTTTGGGGTACGGGTGAAGCTTGGGGAGGCTTCTGTTTTCTGTTGTCTCTGAATCCAGACCATATGTTTAGAAACTTTCCCTGAATTCAAGGAGGGTTTTTGTTTGTTTCAGCTTGTTAGATCACAGTTGCTGTGCATTGTAACCCAGCAAGGTAGGGAAAAGTTTTCTACCCTTCAGGTATCCTTGTAAAATCAACACTAAAGAGAACCCTGTGCCAGAGAGATCTTCCAATAAGGAGCCTCTGTTACCATTTACTGGGCCAAAATACTCATCCCAAAGTATGGGGATGTTCTTCAGCAGACAGCTGAGTAGGCTGGCACCAGCAATCCCGCCACTATTGGTTTCAGGGTTTCCAAAGAAGGCATTTTAAGGGGAAAAAATCGACAGACCTCAGACATTATCTAATAGGTGCATCAAAGTCCCACAATGGCATATCGTGTTTCTCCATGCCACCATGTTGCGTGGCAAGTACTTCACCCCGCATCTACCATCACCCCAGTCCTCTGCCCCAAAGGGACACCATCTCAAGTCTGCTGCCGCTGGAGTGAGCAGGCTACCAGTGGCAGAACTTCTCCAAAGCAAACCTGAGCACCATTTTCTCTTAGCCTGCAGCCCTCTCCCACAGTTCCTGAAGTATCTTCTAGCTCTGCTCATTCTTCATAGTGTAGGAACCTATATTCATCCTCCTGCTTTGCCTTGGAGAGATCCATCGTGATACTGACCAACGTGACAGGGTGGCTCAAAGTTCACCCCAGCCTAAAGGACCATGCAACTTGTACTGCAAAGGAGGGAGGGCGAGAAACGTTGCTTTTCTGTAGAGCCCTAAATTCAACTTCAAACTCCTTGTAGCAGGCAATGGGAAACTGAATTTCAGTCATCACTGGGTAATCCCCTCCACATAGAATATTGTTCAAAGGTCCTTGGGCATTTGCAAAGAAGCAGACATTTGGGGAGGCCTTGTGAAGTTTTTCCTTTGCTGGCCACTGATAGAGCTCTCCATCATGCAGCCCTCCATGGTTGCATGGAGTCTAGTGAGCTTGCTGCCTCTGTGTAAATTAGGGATGTGAGACCCTCTACCAAGGGTTACAAATTGGGGCCCAAGGTCTCACTTCCTTAGGCACCCCGTAGAGACAGTCTCTGTTTCTGTCGCTGCTGTGGTATTCTTTCCATTGAAATCTCCTGGATTCATTGCTCTGGCTTCCTTTTGTCTGCAGTTTATTGCTAAGTGGCATTTTAAACTGTTGAGAACCTTGTACTTTGATTGTTACTGTTGATTTGTTTGCCAGTTTTCTTTCTTTCTTTTTTTTTTTTAAGATTTATTTATGTATGCATATAAGGACTGGGATACAGGCCTGAGGTGCAGGGGTGAGAGGATTCACCTGAGAAGAGTGGGGAGCAGAATAGGTGGATAGACTGAAATACACTGTTAAGGGGAGCAGTAGGGATACAGGAGAGGTCTGCTGCACCAAGTGGGTCACCTCCATGGCTGGGGATCAAACTCAAATTGCAGTGGCTGCTGAGAACTCTATAGTGCTGCGCTTTAACCCCTTGTGCCACCAAAGAGGCCCTGTTTGCCAGTTTTCATTGCCAGTTGTCAATCTGGACAGTTGTTTTAGATCTCCCAACAGCTCTTCATTGGAATTGCATCCACAAAATTTAGACCTGTGGTAAATTCTACATTTAACGATCAGTTAAGTCAGTGACGTTTCAAGAAAAAAAAATAATAAGAGGGAGAACATATACATTTTAAGAGGCAAGACTCTTGCTTTTTGTAGCCACTGAGATAGACCGTAAGGCAATTATGCTAAGTGAAATAAACCAAATACAGAAAGGCAAATATTGTATGATTTCACTTATATGTGAAAGGTAGTAGGGACACTGGTTAAGTGGATAAAGAAGTCAGTTGCATGGTGTAGATAGAAACTAGACTCTAGGTGATGATCATAATGATCAAGCTGTACACTTGAAACTTATGCAATGTATTAAACAACCTATGTTACCTCGGTGAAGAAATACATTGTGTTGTGGAACTTGTTGCATACCAATTCAAAAACTCAGATGAAAAAAAATTAGTAGACATTCAGGAAGGAGCCTTAAAGTGTGTATTTAATGGCATTAACGAATTTATTATTTTTTTTAGGTTTCATAATGGAATTGTGATTAATGTTTCAAGATTTTTTGAAAAGGTTTTTATTTTTCGAGGTACTTATTGAAAGAGATGAATTGATACGATATCAGGGATTTTCTTCAAAATAAAGCAAAGATGACTGATCTTTAGTTGACAGTTGTTGAAGCTGTTTTAGCACCTGCACGTTGGTTATTTTTAGTCTGTCTGCTTTTGTGTCTCTTGCCATCTCCCACAAAAGAATGCATTGTTTAGCGACGAGCCCAAAGTTCATCACGTTGATCTTACATTGAATAATACTTCATTTCTGGAATGCTTCCGGACAGACCTGAGATCTCAGAAGCAGTCATTTGCAGTGCAATCTCCACCTCCCTTTTTGGGGGACACAAAGCAGGAAGGTGGGAGTGGAATTTTTCTCTCTTTTCCTCTTCCTCCCATGGCCGGCTCCAACTCAGTCCAATTTCAAGGTATCATCTCCAAAACACAGTGTTTTCTAAATAAAGTCTTAAGTTAGAGGGGGAGGTGTAAAGACAAAAAAGCTTCTGATGACGGGATTTAGATGCCTTGTCTTAGTTTTGGGTCTTCATTTTTGCGAATTACGTCCTTTGTATCGGAAGGTACACGAACCTGCAATTTCCCTGCTCACGTGACATTGTTTTTGTTTTAGAGTAATTTCTAATATACTGGAAATTCTCGGAGAGTTTACGTCATTGTCAACAGTTACAGTAATTACCGTATTGACGCTAGTTGATTCCGGGGCATGGAATCGGCGGGTCGGACCGCGCGAGGACAATTCGGGGATTTTAGAGTTCAGACCCGAGCAACCATTTTTCCGTGGCCCGATTTCTTAAAAGTTGGCACAGGGGAGCGTAACGAAGTTTGTTTGTTGTGTTTTTTAAATTCCCGTTGATACACAGTTCCAGGGTATAAAGCGGACACTACGCTACGCCCACACTTCTTACTCTTGAGTTCAGGAAGCGTTTACGGCGGTCTGCGCCTGCGCAGTTGCTTCCTCCAACTCGTCCGCCTTCCCCCGTCTCGCTGACAGGGGGCGCTGTGAGGTAATGGCTTAGTTTCCTTCCTAGGGCTCTGGAACGAAGCGTAAAAGGGCCGGAGGCAAGCGGATCGAGGGGCGTTCTATCTTCTGCTTCCCCGTCTCTATCACCCTTTGTCCTCCAGCCTCCGCCGGGCTCAGGGCCTGCGGGCCTGGTTGCTAGGCGGAAGCGGGGCGCGGCGGCGGCCGCTCCGGCTGCCCGGGCGTTTGAAAAGCGGCTAAGCAGGCGGCAAAAGGTCCTCTGGTGGCGGGCTCGCCTCTGCCTGCGGACGGGCCAGGCCGGGTGGCAGAACGGCTCTTGCTTTGAGTCGGGGCATGAGTCGGGCTGCTCTGGCGCCCCTGGGCAGGGGAGTCGGGCGAGCTGCAGGCGCGGAGCCACGGAGCGGGGTCCTGGCGTCGAGGGCCATGGGTGGGCGGTGGGCGCCCCGCCGGGAGCCCTGCCGGGGGTCGCGGGCTGCTCGCAGCTCACCCAGGTCCCTCTTCCCCCCAGCAGACCCCGCCTGCGGGCCGCGGATCGCGACCATGGTCTCCAAGTCCGACCAACTGCTCATCGTTGTGTCCATCCTGGAAGGTGAGCGGTCGCGGACGTGCTTTTGGCGACTGCGGCTTCCTGAATGTTAACGGAGTATTGTGGGGCCGAACCCCGTCGTCTTTGCTTTTATGGTTCTCCAGGACTTGTTCCAAGTCGGTCGTGGAAAGGTCTGTTAGGCAATTGATTTTAAAAATCTCTCGAGGGAGGATGAGAGCTCTTAGAGATAGATGATACTTAGCGTGACCAGCCGGAGGCCCAGAGAACGTGGAATAATAATACGATTTCCATCCGAAGCTGCTTGTCGGTGAAAATGTGCCTGGAAAGCACGTTCGGCTCAGCGGCGCCCCAGCAATGTCATTTTTACGAGCTTTGTTTTCACACGAATACATGTTTCCTGGACTTGTAAGAATTGTTGAGGAGACGCTGTCTCTGTGAGTCTTGACAGGGGATTTAGGGGACTGCGGTTGTCTAGGGGGCCTGGTGTGTATGCACCTTGAAGTTTGGTTTGCTGCACGACTGACATTGGTTTTATCAAAGACGGGGTTTCAGAGGCTGTTCTGGAACCTAAGAATAAAACAAGTTCAGGTTCTGTCAACAACGGGTAGCTTGGCGAATGTAGGGGGAGTTTCCCAGAAGAGGTGGCGCTGACTTGGGTTCTAAATGAAAATTAGACATGTATCAGTTGAAAAGGAAAGCGAGGAAGGACATTGCAGGTAAAGGGGAGAACAAAGAACCCTTACAGCATTTAAAAAAACAAGGACTCTTCTGCTATGCCTAAAGTCAGCGTGCTTGAAGAGCAGATAGTGGGATAGTGGCGGGCACTTCACCCGTTAAGAAAGTTGGGGACAGGTTATGAGCAAGGAGGCAAAAAGGAGTTGTCTTGAACCTGTGTGAGACACAACTGGCGATTTGTTTTACCCCAATGAGAGGTACTGAGTGGAGGCCTGGCTTTATTTTGTGCGTGAGGGGAAGAAAGCCTAAACCTGATTTTGAGCTTTGAAACAATAGATGGATCAGATGCCATAAATCAATAAAGTAGTTATGTTGCTGATTATTTAAAGAAGGGACTGAAATCCCCTTACAATTTACTTAACAAAGCTTTTGCACTTGGAACTGTGGCTTGTGCCCCAGGAAACAAATACGGACTACTTTTCCTTTAAGGGTATAGGTCTACTCGCAAAAATAAAATTCATGTTCAGCCCTAATATCTTGGGATTAATAAAATAGCTAAAATATATCATGTGGGTTGTAAATACAGGTTTGGGGCTAGGGGGAGGGGTCATGACTGAATTGGCTTGATTGGTAAGTATGAACTTGAGTATGAAAAACATGAGAAAACTTAGGATTTCTATACATTTTTGTATAACCCAAGAACCTGTGGGTTACTATCATCCTGAATTCCCTCCCCATCCCCTTTTCCAAATGGTCACCAAGCTGTGTTGTTTTTGTTTTTTAAATAATAGGAGGTGTAATGTATAATACATTCTAAACGATGAATGTTTTAATTGTGAATGCCCTGGCTTGCAATCCTCATTACCCATTTCATCTGATGTAATAATCTTTTCAATAGTATGTTTCTTAAGTGTTTTCTTCATCAGAAAATATTTATGGTCCCTATCACCATCTGGGATAACTCTTTCTGAAATGCATCTAATTTAATTATAAAGCCTTCAGTGTCCTAAAGGGTAATGTCTGTATTTCTTAAAATAGCATACTTATTAAAATGGCCTTTGTGGTAGACCTCCTGCCTACCATTTTAGCCTCAGCTCGCCTTCCGTGGTCTATTCGTAAGTTCTCTTGCACTGTCTTCATGACACTACTATGCATGTTCTTTATTGGAAAGAAAATCATTGTGTTTGTACTATGAGCAAAATTTGGGCTACATAGTCGTTTCTGAGGTTGACAAAGACATGGTTTCTCTTCAGGTAACATTCCCTGGGATGAAGCAGGCACTTGTTTATTCTACTCTGTGTCGTCTCTCCCAAGCTTATTAAGATTATATTAATGAGAGTCTGGCTGAAAATAGAGCTTTTCTGGACATGGAATTCATTTGGGGGAATCTAGTGATATTTTCAAGCAGCTAAAAATGAGGTCCAGAGAGAGGGCCTTGGTGAGTGTTAATTGGGAGAGCCTTGGCATGTGTTAAGGCTTCTAGTAGTGAGCTTCAAATGAGAGCCTCTGGCTCACAATCAAGATCATTCCACCTGCTTTATTTAGCCTTTGTGCTGGGAGAAACGCAGGGATTTATTTACTTTAACAGAGGTGAGACCCAACCAGGATCCACCCACCTATAAGTAGCTTGGTAACAGTCTAAGATTTTTAGTGCTTCTTCCTTAGTTCTTAAACTCCCTCTATTATTTGTTTTTGCCCTTGGACCCCTGAACGCCTTTGGTTTTTACTCTGCTTTGCATCGTATGGTGCCATAATACTTAAGGCCGAATGCCTTGTGTAAAGAATGAAGGGGGGCAGGTGGCACAAATGAAAAGTGATGGGTCCGTAGAATGTGGTAATATTTCTTCACACTTTCACTCTTGCCCATGAGACTAGACTGAGGACAGGGAACTATATTGATACATATTTTTCTTTGGCTTATTTGTAAACTATTGACACTGAGTTAACAAGAAAATTAACTTGGAATTAAGGTTTCAAACTTTGCAAATTGATTTTGTTGTGTATTAACTACTGGTATAGTAATATCTAGAACTGGTGTGATTACATTTTACTCCCTAAATGTTAAGGAGAGTTTTGCTACTTGAGTGCGAGCCACATACAACATCATTGACATCACTTGAGATTTTATTAAAGGAGCACTCACACCCTAGACCTACTCAACCAGAATCTGTTTTAAAGGATCCCGGGTGATTCAGTTGCATTCTCATGCTGAGAAGCATTGATTTAGAAATTGCCAGCCTTAAATTTCATTCACACTTTCTGTGAGTCATGAAATTGAGTGTATGTGTGCATATGTGTTAGCAAGGTAGTGTGTGGGATATATGAATAAAGTCATTGTCTTAATATGTGTTCATTTTTTAAAAAGATTTATTTTATTTATGGATGTATGAATAAACTGAGGGACAGGACAGAGGTGTGAGGATTCACCAGAGACAGAGTGGGGAACAGGCAGACTGCCTGAAATATACTCTGAGGGGAGCAGTGACACCATGTGGGTCACCTCCCTGGCCGGATATACTTAACTTTTGCATGTGTCTGATTAACGGGTATCATCTTTTTTTTCCAGGTCGCCATTTCCCCAAACGTCCAAAACATATGCTTGTCGTAGAAGCAAAATTCGACGGAGAACAATTGGCTACTGATCCTGTGGACCACACTGACCAGCCAGAATTTGCTACTGAGTTAGCCTGGGAAATTGACAGGAAAGCACTTCATCAGCACAGGTGACTGTAGTTTTCAGTTCTAGCCTTTTGGGGGCTGTTGGAAGTAAGTAAATAAATTTATATCTCTGACTGGACAATCGCAATAAAAATACTTGTTGAGCGTTTGTTTTAACATGCCAGGAAATTTTCAGAGTACTTTATATCAGTAATTTATTTGTATAGCTGAGCAATCCTATCAAGTTGGTATTATTTTTCCTGTATTACAGATGGGAAAACTGAAGTGTAGGGGCTAACGTTAGTTATTTATTCTAAGTCAGCAGAAGAGTGTGAACTCCAACTTGGGTCTGAACTTTATGTATTTATTTATTTATGTATGCTTACAGAACTGGGGTACAGGCTAGAGGTGTGGGGTAAGAGGATTCACCAGAGACAGAATGGGGAGCAGACTAGGCAATCTACTGAAGTATACTGCTGAGGGGAGTGGTGGGCGTGCCAGGAGAAATCTGCCATGCCACATGGGTCAGCTCCCTGGCTGGAGATCAAACTCGTGCTGCAGTGGCTTCTTAGAGCTTCCTAATGCAGCGCTTTAACCCATTGCACCACCAGGGAGAGCCATGGGTCTGAACTTTTAACCTTATTCTAGTTTTTTTTTTTTCTTGCTAATACTCTAGAATTGCCATAATCATTCCTGTAATTCTAACTCACCCCAATAATTGAGTCAGAATACACTGTAACTGATTAATTTCTTAGGGTATATTATATGTAATATTGCCCAGTTTATATAGAGGTATTCAGTGAAAAGTTGATGAGTTAGAGTTCATTGTAACTTGGATTATTTATTTTATTGTATACTGTCCAACATTCCCCAGGTTATATAGAGTTATTAAGTGAAAAGTTATGAAAGTAATTTTATAAGGAACTCTTTTTAATTTTACTTTTGCTTTTAGATATTGAAATACTTTATTAGTACATAAAACAGACAGTTATTGCCTCATATTTATTTTATGATCTCACAACCAGATGCAAATAAGAACAGTGATTTGTTTTTTCTTTAAAAAGCATTCCTTAAAAAAAGGGATTAGGCCCTCCCTGGTGGCGCAGCGGGTTAAAGCACAGCACTGAGAAACTAAAGCCACTTCCACATGAGTTCGATTCCCGCCTGCCCGGGAGGTGACCACATGGCGTGGCAGACCTCTCCTGACCCGCCCGCTGCTCTCCTCAGCAATGTACTTCATAGATCTGCCTGTTCTGTTCCCCACTCTGTCTCTGGTGAAGCCTCTCACCGCGCCTGAGCCTCTGGCCTGTACCCCAGTTCTGTATGAACAAATAAATAAATCTTTAAAAAAAAAAAAAAGGATTAGGAAAAAAAAGGATTAGAAGGCCCTCCCTGGTGGCACAGTGGGTTAAGGCCCAGCACTGCAAGCTAGTTGCAGCCGTTTCAGTGTGAGTTTTATCCCCTGCCCCGAGGTGACCCATAGGTGCAGCAGACCTCTCCTGTCTTGCCAACTGCTCCCCTCAGCAGTGTACTTCATCAGTCTGCCTGTTCTGCTCCCGACTCTCTCTCTGGTGAATCCTCTCACCATCCCTGTACTTCTGGACTATATCCCAATGTATGCATAAATACATAAATCTTTAAAGGAAAAAAAAGGGATTAGGCAACACATAATCATATACTTGCTCTTTCTAGTATTAAATTGAAACACAGAGTTAAAAAAATTAAAGCGAGACATTTCTTCTTTGCTCTACCACCACTTCATGGATTTATTTGAAGGGGTGTTAAATTCTCAGATATAAAAATTGTGTATTTCCTTTCTCGACTTCTGTGATTTTTATATACATATACATATACAAATACATATATATATATATATTATATATACATACACACACACACACAGAGGAGAGAGAGAGAGTCTTGATATGAAATAGTAATATTTGCATTAGTGACTGTGTTCAGAGTTGTTTTTAGTGCTAGTGGTAATACTCCAATTACCCTACACTGACAAAATAACAGGAATAAGTTGAATATGTAAATGATCATTTTGTGTCTGGGGTAAGATAGTCATCCCACTAGGTAAAATTGACCGCAGGATCTAATCCCCTTATGGCAGGAGCCAGTGAAGAGACTCCAGAGGCGAGAGGATCCCATGCCGCACCAGTGGATGTCATGCTGATAGGACATTGTGGTGTGCTACATTAAATGACTGTTCATTTAATTTTAGTAACTTGTGATTTGAGGATATTTAATTCCTAAGTTGATCTTGTGGGATTCTTTAGCTATAATAAGCTATAAATGTGTATACTTGTGGCTTTATGGGTGTGTGCTACTATAAGAAAAACAATTCTAACTCAATGTTGAGATTTCATGATAATTGTTTAAAAGAGATCTATGTAGTACACAGTATAGTTTATATAGTATACAGTATACATACAGTATAGTATATAATATACAGTATAGTATAGCTGAGCCTCTTACATGAGGAAAACTGCAGTTTTTAACATGATTTGTATATTAGTTGGTGATTGATAAGTAGGCTTAATTAAGAGGTCTTGCCAGTAGACGAGTTGTTTACAAGTACAGAATAGTAACAGGTTATTCGACAAAATTATAATTGTCTGGATATTAGTAAGTAGCTTTATCGGGGTAATAGAAAATCAATCCGATACTCAGCAAAAGCTCTCTTACCACCACTTTAAATTGTCGTTGCAGGCTACAGCGGACTCCTATCAAACTCCAGTGTTTTGCCCTGGGTCCTTTGTCTTCGGCCAAAGAAACTATAGGTTACATTGTTCTAGACTTAAGAACTGCTCAAGAAACAAAGCAGGTACAGCCTTTTCATTGTGTTGAGTGTATTGGTTTCAGTATCAGATTGATGGGAAACACTGGATCTCATCATCAGGGCTTGAACGCGTATGGCAGTTTTTATGTTTTAGTTCAGGAGTGGTTTAAAAATTCTGACTGTTGTATCAGACCTTTGATCGGGAACTAGTATTTTCAGAGAAACTACGTTAGTGTTATATACTTAATTCCTGAGCTTTGCTTTCAGTGGTAAGGCCCTTGCTTCATCGAATGGCCACCCCTCTCTTTCAGCTGAGCCAACTAGAGACACAAGTCTTTACACCTTCTCTTTCCAGTTGTGTTTTTCTCCTGATCTTACCCTATTGAGTTTTCACTGCTCCCCCCAACCTAAGCTACGGTCATTTCTCGGTTGTCACAGTAGTCTTCTAGTTATTTCTGCTTCTCAGTCCTGTATTCCTTCCATAGTGGAGTAAGTGAAGGTACGGAAACACATTCCTGTTATATGTAAACAACACACACACACAACAACAACAAAAAAGAAAAATTACGGTTTTGATTACTCTGTCAGTACTCCTGTACGTAAAAGTGTTTTAAGTCTTTCTTTCAGCTTTGTCTATAATTCACTTTAGAAATGCTTATCTTTGAGTTTTCTTACTGCGTATGTTGTCACAATTTCTTTAAGGAAATAAACTAAAAAAACTTGGTAACTTTTAAAATTCCTATATTGTCGCTTTGACTTATGAAGAAAACTTTTTAATTACTATCATTGTTGCTGCCAGTGTCAGTCACAATGATATTTGCAAGTTATCCAGGTCCAAATATGGGCTCATTCAAAACAAAGTGCAATTTTCAAGATGATTTCAAAGAATACTTTCTGCCTTTATTCTTGGGTACTCATCACCTGCCTCTCTGCCCCTGCAAGTCCAAAAAAAGCTTTCCTTTCTTTAGTTTTTAGTCATGGGCCCTGATTTTGCCTCTCATGTTTGTCTTGACCTTGTTTGCTGCAAACTGCATTTGACTTTAACGCACTTCTGCAGTCATTTGGTTACAAAGGGAAAGAAATCCTCACAGGCAGACATCTAAGATGAGATTGTGTCTCTAAATAGCCTGGTTTTCTCTTTGTCTAAGTGTTTAGGACACTTTATCATCATTGTGTGATCAAAGTTTAGGAGGAATGTGTCAAAATTATGTTAATTTTTAAAGATTTATTTATTTATGAACACAAGAACTGGGGTACAGGTCAGAAGTGTAGGGATGGTGAAAGGGTTCACCAGAGACAGAGTGGGGAGCAGAACAGGTTGACTGATGAAGTACACTGCTGAGGGGAGCAGCAGGTTAGATAGGAGAGGTCTGCTGTGGATTGAACTCATGCTGCAGTGGCTGCAGGTAGCTTCGAAGTGCTGCGATTTAATCCACTGTGCCACCAGGAAGGCTCCCTATAGTTTGATTTTTGTCTTTAAAAAAATTGGTTGTGAGGGCCCTCCCTGGTGGTGCAGAGGGCTAAAGCACTGCACTAAGAAGCTTAAGCCACCTGTTTGAGCCCCGCCTGCCCCAGAGGTGACCACATGGCACGGCAGACCTCTCCTGACCCGCCTGCTGCTCCCCTCAGCAGTGTACTTCATCAGTCTGCCTGTTCTGCTCCCGACTCTCTCTCTGGTGAATCCTCTCACCATCCCTGTACTTCTGGACTATATCCCAATGTATGCATAAATACATAAATCTTTAAAGGAAAAAAAAGGGATTAGGCAACACATAATCATATACTTGCTCTTTCTAGTATTAAATTGAAACACAGAGTTAAAAAAATTAAAGCGAGACATTTCTTCTTTGCTCTACCACCACTTCATGGATTTATTTGAAGGGGTGTTAAATTCTCAGATATAAAAATTGTGTATTTCCTTTCTCGACTTCTGTGATTTTTATATACATATACATATACAAATACATATATATATATATAT